TTAGTATCCTTTTAAAATTATTTACTGACTGCCACGACCATGAATGCATTAAGGCAGTGAATCACAGTTTGGGGCGATGATTCACAATAGAGCAACGAGGCTCACTCATTACCATGAAACACGAGCATTAGCCGATAAATTAGATTTATTAGTTTATATTGATAGGTATTTTTATGCAAACAATTTTAGTGGATTAACCCGTGCAATTACAACATGTTAGATATTTCCCTATAGCATTATATTACGCTTGGAATTTTATACTGGTTAATTTAGTTTATTGTACGTATTTCGTTGCAAAGTGTTTATATAAAAGGAATCTTTTTGCCATTAATAAGTCGTAACACAATTTAGATGTATAATTGTAATTATAAACAATTGGATGATGTATGATGTTCAACCGACTCTAACAAGAACGATTGAAGTCTGGACTTTCTTTTATTGAAAGGGTCACAATGGGTATATTTCTGAGGTCCCATTACCTCTTCTAATGATGGGATCACAGAGAGATCTAAGAGTGAGATTCAGAAACGAGACTAAGCTCTAAGTGTAAGTAATTTTTCGAATTGTATAGGCTTACCTGAAACCATTTGGGGATACGTACGTACGTACTACCGTAAGCACAATTTAGTAATTTCGAATTTATGATGAAGAATTTTAAAAGGATGTATTTAAAATAGAAACTTATTATAAAAATAGCCTATGTAGTTTCTATCAGTTGTTGTCAACATCAAAAAGCGCAAACGTAGAACACAATAAATTACCATTTCGCGACATCGGTGACGTTATTCAATAGATGATATATGGATTGCAAGAACTTTACAAAAGAGTCATAAATTACAATACAACGTCGTCGCGAGTGGCACAATACTAATGTGGGCGTATGCCCTAGCATTGTCTGATCATAAACCAACTAAACGGGACACTTGTTATACAGCTCTCAGAGAAAACCTAAGTGAAACCCAACCTAGATTAATTCATAAATTGAATATAAAAGTAATATCGTGTTACATTGACAACACAATGGAAACATTAAAATTAGTTATTAAACACGCACTAAAACGAATCTTTAGTTGTTAAAAACTGTTTTGACAGCCACTAGGAACTAGTTTTAAGTTTAAAGCTATAGATCACGGAATTTTATTTCCTGTCACCTGATGTTATGTGAGATGTGGCCTATTGGAGGGCACGCCTGTCTAGGAGATGCCTATTTAACCGCCGTTTAAATGAACCCATATGTGTCAAGGGAAGATGGATTGGGGCAAGGAGTTCCACTTTTTTGCTGTTTTACAAGAAACGACACCGGGGGATGTCAACGACGAAGGGATTAAACTCCAGCGTGCTTCTAGATGAGATGAGATGATTCTAGAGAGATTCTTGATAAGTCTTTTAGAGTACGTATACACGTATTGGAGTGACTCAAGTATTTTTTCAATTGTTCACGAATATTTAACTCGAACTCTGAAACGGGCCGCAAATTCTATTTTCCCGGGCAACCAATTTGCATTTGCATCCTACGCAGTCGAGTAACTTTATAACTTCCTTCAACTTATTCGTGAGTCTGTTAACGATATTTTCGAAACATTACTTGCCAGACTCAGTGATAATGCGAAATTATTTTCGAATTTCGAACCAACCAACTTAATAATTATTTACCTAACCAGTTTAAGATTAAATATTATAGTACTTAGAGTATCTGAATGTATTTTCATTAACATTCATTTTTAATAAATGGTCTGTTTGGTCCGACACCATCGAAATTTAATAATTCCGTATATCATTTCAAATATGACGCTTTAATAGTAATGTCATAATTAGTAATGACACCTTGTTTAAGGTAGACACAACGAAAGTCTAGTATTATGGATTGTCTGCCTGTCACGGTTCAACGTTTCCGTTCAATGCCGTTTAGTACAATAGTTTAAAAACCGTAAAATGTTTTGACGGCAAACGATATAAAGTTCAAATAAGGCCATTATTCTCGTCTCTGTAATATTCTTTATACACTTCCAATTCTTAAATACAACTATTCAGACTCCACTTTTTTAATCTTATCAAAAATATCACACTTCATAGAAAAATAGTTTGAAGATTAAAGGTATTGAAATACGCACCTACAAATAAGTAATAAGGTCAAGTATTAGACCTAATTTTAATTCGACAATACGCCTAAGCCTTAGCTAAGGTGACTCAGCGACTTTCTCTCGTCTGTAGGTCGTCTGCCGTCTCCCGTCTGGCTGGGTTGACCTTATCGGTGCTATAACACTTCCATTCTATTGTCTAGTGACAAAAAGCGACCAAACGATTACGCTTAGATAAGTATATTCTACAAAAAAATTAGTGTTTGAAAAAAGGCAATATGAAATCGTGCTTATGTACGCGGATTACGTGAAGTTCTTAGTAAATGGGCGTAAGCCTGCCATCAACGGGAAATAATACAATGTTTCTACGGAAATCGAATCCAAGCGCAATGTGAAGTTACCACTAGGATAAAGATGCGGTAAATAGGTATAAAAATATGAATACACAAAGAATTAAGACGCACCACTAAAAGGATAATTATAAATAAGTAGCTAATTAAAATTTATAATTTATTTTTATTGTCTGTCTTCATAATAAAGGATGTTCATGAAACTACAGTAATCAAGGTTAAATTAAACGATGTACAAGAAATGGCAATAACGAGAATCGTTCATGAAACTTGTACAAGACAGACACAAATACATTATAATACAGAAGGGCTAGTACGAGATTGACATAATTGTTATTGTCTTGCGCGTTAATAGTAGAGATTTACCTTCTCATTCTTATTTAAGGTGTTATACATACAAATTTTTACTTAAACATTTTAATTCAATAATAAAATCTATGAAAATTAGGATATTGATCAGAGCCATTTGAAAGGCGAAATACCTATTGTAAGAAAACTTTATTTAACTAGAAGCATTTTTACCAAGCCGTAATGTTTACATAGAGTCAAAATAATTTAAGTCGATATAACCACGTGATACTGTTCGTTTATTTGATAAAACTTGCACTAACCCCACTGAATAGGTATCGTGCGCCGCGTCTTCGTGACCGACGTCGCTTTAATATAATAACCACTGCACATCTAATCAGTAATCACAAATTATTTCTATTTTTGCCTAACGATTTATGCTTTATAGAGTGAAAATGTTTGTGGCTCCGCTTCTCTACTTATTGCATATTGCAAAACATAGATTGCTTTTTCGACTTTAAAAATAAACGAAGGAGGCTATCAAATTGTCGGGTATTTTTTTTTGTATATAAATAATCGTTGAATACAATTCGAGACAATAGATTATAGAAGTAAGAAATATTACTTAAATAGTGCATTTAGAAGTCGGTTCATATAATTAATAGGGCTTCATATAATTATTTCTTCGCTGATGCTGAAACCACATTACAGGGTCTGCTAGGTAGTGCTTCGGGCCTCAATCTTCCACTTAACATGGCTCAAGCGCTGTAGCGACGAGTATAAACTATAATGAGCCTAATAGTGGTTCACGGCCACGAATTAAACGTGGCGTGGCAAGTCAGAACAAGTCAGTAAAATTTTGTTAATAGCTAAATTCATTAATCATGACTTTATCAGTGTATCTGTGGTCAGTGCGATGCCGTGATGGGTATAAGTATCAAATTCGATAAAACAAAAACAAAGCCCAAAACAATAGCGAAAACACCTAACCGACTAGTGATTAGATTCATAATTACAATTATAATTCATTAATTAAAGTTGAATAACCAAGAGGTCGGTTGCTAGCATTATTCAAGCTTACAATTTTACAAGTGTTTAGTAAATTATTTACTTGTAGGCTGCGTCACATAAGAGGCAAGAGTATGAGTTGTAAATATTAAATTGTGTGCGATGGAGTATATAAAAGTGAAAAAAAATATGGATTTGAACACCCGTAGCCGCTACACGTGCCATGACCTACTTGTAGTAAATGAAAATGGTTAGGCGAATGTGGCTCTTATAACTTCAAACATAGTGAAATTAGCATTAACGAATGGTGAACCTTTGATGAGTAAGTGGGCAAAAAATACTGCGATTGTAAATGATGAATGAGTGTGTCTTTGATGACGGATAAAACGGACGGTTAGAAAGGAGTTGAACACGCCTAGTTCTTTTTTTTTGGTCTGATGATTTCTGATTAAGCTATTTGGAAACAGGTTTTCGACCATACCACATTTTAGGTGTGAACATAAACTATAAAAGCGATACCTTAGTATAAAAGTTGTTAATCTAAAACAAATAATTTATCAACGTTACATAATAGAGCCGCTTTGCTGAGTTTAAATAATATGTAATTTTACATAACTGTAACTTACATAACATAATTCAAAACATTAAACGTATTTAATAAATCTACATTAAGCAAAAAGAGTAAGTTTAATTAGTGGTAAAAATATTTTTTTCGTGTTCGCCTCCACTCTCAACCAACATTCTCAAACGCTACAATGATCTTCAGCGTAACAATACATATTCAATGATGACTTATAAAGTCCTGCTATTAAACTATGTTTTAACCAAAAAACTACTTTCATCTAAAAAGCAAAGGAGAATACGTATTAGAAATCACTCTTCTCATTGTTCTGTGCAAAGAATCCTGTTTTTTTTATGTATCGATTTTATCGAGTTTAAAGCGATAATAATATAAATTATGTCAATTAACAATATCATTATAAGTAATAAATTATTAATAATAGCACATGCAATATCCAATATTAATTAGTCTCCAGAAATAACTGTTTATACATAGTTTTAGCATAGATAATTATTTATTTATTTACATCCTAATAAAAGACAATAGTAAGTATATAATTACGTTTATATATATATATAATTACGTAAATAAGTTTTTGTTTTCATTATGAACACAAAAATAGGCCACGTCCTTATTAGTGTTTAGAACAAGGTGTCCTTTTATTAAGTCGGAAGTAATTTATTTCCGAAAATACATACTCAGACATATTGATGGTCAAGATGGTGGTGAAGAAAAATTATCAGTGTAGAAAGCGACAGTGACTTTTAGTTGCGCAAGCGCCGAATCCGCGGTCAGTGACCGGCGCAGGGAAAGTCGGGCTGAACAATTGCTTCTTAATTGTACCTTTGATAAGTAACACAACATGAAAAAAAAATTAAGTAAATAAAAACAGAACTAAAATGCTTTCAACTTATGATTGATCAGAAAGTTGCTTATAGCAAGAACAATGTATTGCTATGGCAAATTTTTTATTGTTCTTTTCTTTCTTTAGTATATTGCATATCATAATATAGCACTAGTTGGCCAGCACTGGGAAAATATATAATAGTGTCTGTAAAATGTACCAGATGTATATATATGAACACTCAATCACCGTTCTTAAAAATAGTCTACTAACGCATAGTGTTACAGAATTTATATAAGTATGTGAAGTAAATAGTAATAACTTATATAAATGTATTATGTATATGCAAAATTGGGTAAAATATAGACATTTTTTTTAAAAACCTATAACAATAAATTTGTATTATTTAATAAAGATTCAGAGAAGTTATGGATTTATTATAGATGGAACAAATTATGTTTGCCTATAATTAGAAGAACACTTTTATCTTATAATCTTGAAAAGGAAGACATAGATATATTTGGCCCTAGACAATAGTGAGTGTGAGCCATATGCCTAAGCATTCTCAAATAGAAAAAGCAATGAAAACCCCATTTGGACATTCTATAAAAAAACCAGCTACAAGAATCAATAACTGTGTTAAAATTTGTCTTCGGTGACGCTTAAGTCACAACCTCATACATTGAGGATAGTCCTTTCTAATACATTGCTACAAAGTAATGATCATTTCAGCTCTATGAGAATGAAGGCATATAAATAAAGGATCACATTTGCCTTTACACTTATTAGACATACAATTTATAGCTATTTGGAATTTGTTAAGAAAATGTTTTATCTGTCTCACTAGAATAAATTATATGTTAATTTAATTTACTTAATCCAAAATAATATCTTGAGTTTAGTTAAAGGCGTAACCTACATATTTTCTTAATACCACAGTTAAAATATAAGTTTCATTAAAAAATAACAAAACATAAAGAAGACAAACTGTCTGTTGCACATGTACACAGAATATTTTGTTAAGCGAATTTCACACAACTGTTATGAGGCATTAATGATTTGCACTATAAAAGTAGAAACCGGAAAATTAGGAATAAACTGAAAGTACTCAATAGTAAGATGAGATAGGAAGACAACATATAAAATTTAAAATGTAAAATCTATAAGTAACAGTTTAGTAAAATAATATTCATCAGAGTTTTTGAACTTTCAATGGTGCAAAAAATTTCACATTTATTCAAATGTATGTGTTTCTTTTATAGCATAAAGTTTAATTGAGCTTATAAACACATAGAATATATTGTAATAATGTGTATGGCAGCTTTACTATTTAAGCTATTAAAATAATGTCACTCACAAATAAGAGAATAATTAATAAAGGTTTAAAAGTTATAAAAAGACCTTAATTGAAATCAAGATTTGCTTATTTGTTAATAATCTATTTTCACTGCATAATGCCTACCCTATCTGGACTATTATATATATTATTTATCAGTAAGGATATATTTGGTGAATCCTTACTGATATATATATATATATATAATCATATATATATAGTCACCAAATTATGTTTACACAAATAATGTATTATGAATTTTGTTTATTACCCTAGGATAATTTAAAGACTTAGATGTACTACTTATCAACAAATTTTAAGCAAATTTCTAAATCAATGATAATTTTAACACAACAAGAACATGAGCAGGTCAAGATATTACGTCTTAGCTATATTGAAATGTATTACTTCGTTAATCAGCTGATGACTTTAATGTCCTAATTTTCAAAAATAAATTTAGAAGAATACTACGTAAAGGTACCTCTTCTCGTCTTTTAAGCCAGCGGCCGCAAGGACTTTCTTCCAGGATTTCGCTTTCATCCTCGGAATCCTCCCCACTTTCCCTGGGCGACTTGCGCTCTTTGTCGATGCTCCTGCCGCCCGACATAGCACCGATTTACCAAAAACACAAATACTAACAAAGTGTTCGTTTCACTTGAATAATATCTCACAAACGTTTTCTGGAAGAAAACACTCGGAAATATTTTCAAAATACACTTTTTCTTGTAACCATAACCAAGGTTGCGAGTCAAGACGTCACTGTTTTCAACCAATCCATTATTTAATGTACAACACGCGAAAAAATGGACCCATTAAACCTTCTGTGAATGATTTAAGTCCACACATTTGTCTATAAATAACGAAATAAATGATTATTATTTAAATCAAATTATCCACCGGCGAAACTCTCGTCAAGATTCTATTCATGTTCGACTGTGTTCAATTTTCGCAGATCGACACATATAGTCAAATACATCCAAGTTCAATACCATAGAGTATAGATTGTTACAGATTAAAGCACACAGATAATTTTTTACCAGGGACACGACATTAACTTTCACTTTAGGTCCATAATATCTGGGTTGAAGCGATTGACTAAAAAAGTAACTGAGCTTTAATCAATAACAATGTCTAAAATATATGAAAAGTATCGCTTATTAAAATAAAATGTCATCTTTCATTTGTAGAGCTTTGTGGACTTGTTCATAGATGGCACTAAAATAAAATACTAAATTTAAACCTTTACTCCTGTAATTTCTACAATTATTATCTCTTTGCAATTAGTTCTTATTCGTTGCTATATTGCTAGTCGCTTATCACACCCTGACTTTTATAGTGTCTCTTTGAAATACTAATGTTTAAAATTTAGGCAATTAATGTACAATATTTTTGGTCTTAGATATCTCACCATTATGTGAATTATAATATGCCTGCCCAGCAAACAGTTTTTGCCAAAGAGGGCGTTAAAAAAGAAACGGAGACGTTACGACCAACTTAAATACGACCAAAAGATGGCGAACCTCGTTACTAAGCAGAATACATAGTAGTATGGTCTTTTGATGATAATCTTTACGCTTTGATTAAACTTCATCATACAAAGAAATAATAATTAAGTTCTCATTAAATAAATATTGTATAGAAAATGTATTGCCTATATAATTTTCTTATTTTAATTTCTCTCTTTTTGTAGAAGTCAACAGATATTTTAACTGAATTTTAATTTTGGTATGTAAGATAATTGGTTGTTTAAGTGAGATGTAATTATGTATAATTACTGATTTGAGTAACGTTACCTTGAGCTGGTATTACGTACAGGTATGCCTGACAATGTTTGTGTAACGGCGGCCGCGGATAGTTTATAGCCAGAGGATAGACACTACCCGCGATTTACGCGCAACTTTTAAATGCCAGGCGCGCTTTTTTATATATTGGTTGTAATGAGTACCAAATTACAAAGGTAAATCACATATAGCGGAAAACTCTTAACAACAGATGTGGATTTTTTAGTAGCAGATATTAATGCTTATACTACATTTATATCATTTATATGTTGTTAGAGGTCATAAGTTGAGGTTTAGGGTTTAGTTATCCAGAGGTACGCAAGGGATTTAATAAATGATATAAAAATAAAGGCTTCACTTCATATGAAATACAAAAGAACTAAACAAATTGATAAGTATCAGGATTTTCTCATTATTGGAGGTTGGTTAAGGAGAATATTAATAACGTGTTACGTCAGACACCTTCCGTTAAGGAAAACTACAAACTACAACAGTTGTGCCAGCACCCAAGAGCAGAGATAGACAACATATATAACAGGTATAGGCGCAGATATAGGCAACTGAGCAATTGAAGCAAGCAAGACATGAGTTTCGGAAAACGTGGAGTACGACTATTCATCTGGTCAACTGTATGTAGTATGTGCAATCAACAGTCAATCAACAGGTTCATGAGCCTACCTTGGTTTTCAAAATGGTATTTGACACTGTTGATAATTATGATCTCTTGGCTAAGCTTGCAAAAGCACACCAGAACTGTTGCGATTTTGGGCTGCGGTTCTGAGAGACCGGAAACAGTAAGTGGAATTTCATGGGGTTCGTACTGTGTTTTAATTATTAATTTATAATTTATTAATCATAATTTACAATTTTCAATCTCCAATCAAACTAAAGTATTGAAAGCAATTGATTTTTCAATGTAGAAAATAAGCTGAGCAGAGCAGAGCTGAGCGGAGCAGAGCCGAGCCGAGCAGAGCCGATCAGAGCCGAGCAGAGCTGAGCAGAGCAGAGCTGAGCGGAGCTGAGCTGAACTGAGCTGAGTGGAGCTGAGCAGAACAGAGCTGAGCAGAGAAGAGCGGAGCTGAGCTGTGGTGAGCAGAGCAGAGCAGAGCTGAGCAGAGAAGAGTTGAGCTGAGCTGGGCAGAACAGTGATGAGCAGAGCTTAGTAGAGCTGAGCAGAGAAGAGCTGGGCAGAGCAGAGCTGATCTAAGCTGAGATGATAAGCCTCTACTACTATTATCATAACACTAATTAGTTCATATTGTGTTCTTACATATCACAACTTCTTTATTCGTAAGACAGGATTAATTCGCCGCCTAAGGCACCTGCGCATGGACGAATTACATAACCAATTTCGGACACGGCGACAAATCGACTGGGAGGTCAAAACCTCTCTGGCCTGAGGGCAGGGAAGGCGCCCGCGCCGCACAACGTCTATTGCATAGCATACATTCTATTACGATCTTACTTTTCTTTTCGTACAAAAGCTTAACACAAAACGGCAACGTCATATTTAAAAACGTCACTGGGAACTATACATTATTTATACTATTTAAGTTGTTGTTTGTAGTAAAATTTCAAATCTTATTGTTGAACCCAAACAATTGATCAAGGAAATCTACGGTTCAGATTGTATAATCTAGAATCTTATAAACCCCTAAAAAGCGGGCCAATTGTTCCGTGTACGCCGTATTTTGTCGCATTCAAACTTGTTCCAAGTTTGGTGGCGTCGACGCCGATTTTCCTGTTCCCTATATTTGACAAATTGCTTTAATCCCTCATACAAAACGTCAAAACTTTTCGCTTCCGGTGTCTAGTTGAAAATGCTTTTGAAGTTCGTATACTTAGTTTGCTGCGTTGATGCAAATATAGTACAGCCTACTTTCTCGTACAATTATAAATAATATTTAAAAAAATTGTCCTAGTGTAAAGTATGTATTATTAATGTAATACGCATAATATATACATTACGCAGTATTAAAAAAAAAATAATACACCATATCGACACATTTACAAAACTTCAGGGGGTTGAGAACATAAAAATTCAAGAATTTAATATATTTTTATGTTGCAATATATTTCGCTTCATTATTTAGGCTATAAAATTTTAGGTCCCCGGGAACAGTGCCAAGCTAGTAACGTTTGCAGCAAGCTTCTATACGTTATCATTTAAAGCCTACCATTTGGACTGCAACGCTTAACTTTTTACCCTGGCACTTTTCCAAAGGTTTTAGAACATATTACTAATGATAAATCATTTCTAGGTCCTACCTGTTTGCTATTTAGCGATGCAAAGAGATACCAGGGCCCTCTGAAACATTCAATGGCGATACAACGATACCCCGTCTCAATAAAGGGGTTTGTTTCGCTTGATCCCATGGTTCTGTACCTGAGGTCGTTCGAATCCCAGCTGTGGATGGAAATTCATTTTTATATAAGGAAAGTAATTATCGTGAGGAAACCGCCATACCTCAGAGACAAAAAGTCAGGCACAAAAGGCTGACAATAATCTAACCCAAGGTGTAAAAATAAACAAAAAACTTCCTTCAATCGCGTGCGCTGCGAAAACTGTTAATGATAGAACAAAATGATGTATTTCAATTTTTCAGGACACGTCACTATCTATAAAAAATGTCGCGACAGCATGTCTCTATCTTTTATAGTTACGTCACAATAAGCGTCCTTTTATAATTATTTTTTTAATTAAAATACCACCGCTAGAAAAGGCTCTTTATTCGTACCTAGGTATTGATCCTTATCAAAATAAATACCAACGTTTCACATAAGCTACAATTTAATGGCATAACCACCAAAAAAGCATGGTGGACTGGTGTTCTCCTGCCGTTTCTCTTGAATAGTTTACTACTATGTAATATAACAAAAATCTTAGCCACAGCAACGCTTGGCCGAGTCTACTAGTCTAACATATTTTTCGATAAAATTGTGATATTTAAACTGGAGTTGTATAAAGGTTATGTGAGGTTTCAAATATGCTTAATAATATTAATATAGGTTTAAAGTTATTATATGAAAAGACATTTTGCATAGCTAGACTAAAATAGTCATTTATCCGAGGCTATCTCTATTCTGATCATTATAAGACTTAACGAGGAGCTGAGCAATCATACATTGTTGGGTTCAAACCGTTTTATTCCAAAAGTTTCAAACATTAAGGGCGTTATTCGAGTGAAGATTTTGGTGTTATTGCCGTCTGCGATAACGATGGGTGAATTACGTTCTAATAAGCATTTTAAGAGATTTAAAATATTTTTGATTTAGAATGTGGTTTTTCAGACAATAGTTCAATTTTACAGACGGTCTTTTGTGTATGTTTCTTTGGAAATTACCGTCTTAAAACGTAGGTATTTATGCAGAATATTTATGGTATAGAGGTATCAAATGTGACTTTAAATTTCTTTAACCTGTTTAAGGAACCCCCGAGGAAATGGTTCGGACTGAGCCGCTAAGGTATGAATCGTTGACTTAAAATATTTAGTTTTTTGAAGTTAAACTTCTTAAGGCGCGTTATGAAAAATTGATGACAGTGAAATTTTACGATGCGCGCGCACCGTGACACAAAATTAACAGAATGAAGTTGCCCACGGAAAATGCTACGGCATTGGACATAATTTAAAAACAACATTCGAATAATAATAGAATTTATGTTACACTTAATGTAAGAAAATAATAATAAATATTTAATTTATTATTATTTAATTTTCCAAATGTAAACTGAATTTTATTGACTATAATGACTCCTTTTCCAGTCTTTGATTATTTCATTGTAATTAATTATTTGCGTGCAATCAAAAACTATTTTTAATAATGCCAAAGAAGTATAACTTCTTACGCGCGTACATAAGTACACGCACCCTATTTTTTATAATCAGGATACATTACTTGGTCAGTAAGTAATGCGTTTAATAGTGTTGAAATTGTACTTATATTTATTACATTTCTTAATCTATAAACTTACATACTATATATAATATACATAGACACACTATTTATCTTTAATATTAAAGGATATTATGTCACGTTTCTTATTAAAATTTTCATCTAGAAAATAAATAAGCGCGACGAGACTGATAAGTACTGAAATGAATATTGAATTATAAAATTATTTCACATCTACAATACATTTATTATTTTATTAATAGAATCATATAACTCGTCTAACAGCTTCAAAAATTGAATTTTAAAACTCAGATATAATTCTAAAAGAATTCTTTGAATCAAGTTCTGAATATGCCATGCTTCGCCGGTCATGTCGGATATGTCAGAAAACATTAGCTACGGATTTGGTAAACTTTGCTACGGAACTGCTACAAACTTGCTACGGATTGATTTCTCACAAATTGCTCGTTGAAATACGTTCAGAAATGAAATGGGAATTGATGCTGCAATTTCGCTTCTTTAATGATATGTTGCCACTGATTTAACGATTCTGTTTTACTAAAATTTTCAATAAAAAGTAAAAGTAATATTATCCACGGAATAAGGACGGAAGAGTAATGTCGGCCTAGAGAATAAATGAGTGAAATCTGTTTCGAGTAAAGTAATAGTCGAAGTATTATTGTTTCGAAAACAATAATACTTCATAATCCTTTCATCTATACAGAATGAAATGCTAGTCAAAGAGACACCTTTTTATTTCAAAATTTCTACCTTCTCTATTCTGTAGCGAAATAAATAGTTACTTTGTCTATTGTATTGCTTGTCTATTTGTTTACAAAAAGTAATGCAAATACAAATAATTCCCGTAAACCTGTTGAGAAAATGTTTAATCAAAATATATTGGCGCACAGGTGGACTTTAAACTCATACCTATGCTAAGAATCGATTACTTAATCACTGGGCTAAACTAAAGCCAACTAAATAATCTTCTAATGATGTGATTTGCTATTTTAAAAGAGTACCGAGAGTTTTTACGCCGGCTTTTTCTCTCGGCCTTCACCCTCTGTCTTCTTTGCCGATGAGTAGGGATGCTTACAAATTCAAATTTAATGATGAGGAATAAGTGATACATGTATCTTATGTTGCTTAATAAACATATTTTATTTTATTTCAATATATAAAATTCTCGTGTCACAATGTTCGTTCCCATACTCATCCGACCGGCTCGACCGATTCTTATGAAATTTTTTATGCATATTCAGTAAGTCTTAGAATCGGCTACTATCTATCTTTCAACCCCCTAAGTGATAAGGGGTTTGAAAGATAGATAGTCCACCCGAATTTTTTTATTTTTTAGACAATTTTTTTGTTTTTATTTTTTTTATGATACAACATACAAAAATACATACAATCCCTAATTTCCACCCCTCTACAATCAATACCTATTTTTTATTATAGTAATTTTTATTGATCTAAAAAATGTTTCCTAGAAGTAATATACATGGAAAAACAAATTCATATATATGTACTAGCTGATCCGTCAAACGTCGTTTTGCCATGTATATTAAAAAAAATAGGGGTTGATCGTAGAGGGGTGAAAAAAGTAGGGGTTGTATGTATTTTTTAATGCTGTATCAAAAAAAAATAAAAAAACAAAATTTATCTAAAAATTAAAAAATAATAATTTAGGGGTGGACTACCCTTAACATTTAGGGGGATGACAAATAGATGTTGTCCGATTCTCAGACATACCCAATATGCACACAAAATTTTATGAGAATCGGTCAAGCCGTTTCGGAGGAGTTTAACTACAAACACCGCGACACGAGAATTTTATATATTAGATTGTAAAAAATATTTTTTGAAATACGAGTTGAATGCATTGTCTAAGGTATTTTGTAAGAAATGAAATGACAACGGCTTCATTGCGACTATTCATTGAACGCTCAAAGGACTTATAAATAAAAGGTAAGGAAGTGAATTCGCAGAGGGCAGAGCAATGCTTTAGAAATGAGTATTTTACTGTTTACATCTTTATTCAATCCATTAAAGAAACACTTATAAGGTTTGCTTTTAAAAGCAGCAAAGAAATGAAACAATGAACAAGTATTCGATTAAAAATTATTATTTCCCCGAGAGTCGACGTTATAGTTTATATTATAACTAGTAGACTCGGCCAAGCGTTGATGTGGCTAAGATTTTTGTTATATTACATAGTAGTAAACTATTCAAGAGAAATGGCAGGAGAACACAAATCCACCATGCTTTTTTGGTGTTTATACCATTAAATTGTAGCTTATGTGAAACGTTGGTATTTATTTTGATAAGGATCAATACCTAGGTACGAATAAAGAGCCTTTTCTAGCGGTGGTATTTTAATAAAAAAAAAGGACGCTTATTGTGACGTAACTATAAAACATGCTGCTGATGTGTCCTGAAAAATTTTAATACCTCATTTTGTTCTATCATTAATAGTTTTCGCAGCGCACGTGATTGAAGGAAGTTTTTGTTTATCTTTTTACACCTTGGGTTAGATTATTCAAGTTGTAGTAAGAATTCCCTTTTTTTGAAAATTAAACATAGCCTATGTCACTCGGGAATAGTGTAGCTTGCCAACGGTGAAAGAATTTTTGAAATCGGTCCAGTAGTTTCGGAGCCTATTCATTTCAAAGAAACAAAAAATCAAATCTTTCCTCTTTATAATATTAGTATAGATGTATACGATAGTTTAATAAACGCGTAAATACATACAAGATGCAAGTATAAACTTAAAGTAATATTTGATTTTGAAATGTAAAAGTTATTGTCGGAACAGTATTCGATATTTGTGTTTGACGTAAGCTGAAGAAGATTTCATTTTGCATTCTTTGAGAATTCAATATATGCGAGTCGCAAGATTATTGCATTATAATATGCTCCTTTGTCTTGATATTGGTTGTTGCCTTTCAAAATAAGATTATACTTAATTCGTATAGAAATATATATAGAGAAGACCTCAGAAATTAACTATTCAAGTTATAATTTTTTTACCATTTCAATGAAACATTAATTCTACATAAATCGAATATACTTCGGAATTAAGTATAAGTTTGTAAGTGTTTTATGCTTAATTTGTTGATAATGCAAGAAGCATTATACAGATACAAATATTATACATAGTTACTAGCCGTTTCCCGCCCACTTCGCTGGGCGAATTAAAATAGGAAATAAATAAAATTTTGTTTAATTATTATTATTTTTTTCATATTTTTATTATTCTTCTTTTTAACTTCCCGCTAAGAAAATTCAAAATTTTCGAAAATCGAGTTTTTAACAGATGTTGACGTTTTGAGGTTCTAGGAAGCCTCACCGAATGTTTCCGCGGTAAAGTCCGTATGTATAAATTTTCATAAAAGTAAAACAGCAATAAAGAAATGAAGGAACGTTGGAATTTCAAAAATAAATAGCCATAAACCATCTAGGAAATTTTTTGTAGTAGTTTC